TACCAAAATATTTGAAATCAGTAAATAAGTAGTCATGAGCTGAAGTTTTCCCCAAATGACATAAAAGGAAAACTCCCAATGATTTTCACAAGGCCAAAATTTCATTCTTGCTTTGGTTATTTGTGGGCAGGGTGGGATAGAATGTCCTTTTTCTTTTTTAGGTTTGTCCTTTTTCTCCTTATGAACTGACAAAATGAGCTACATTTGTATTACCATGTATAGGGAATTAAGGCACACAGTTTACATTAAGAATGATCTGTTACCTGGTAAAAATGTTAATGTTCTTATTTCTGCTTTATTATTCTTCATTACATTGTTAATAGTAATGAAGTTGCATGCCTAATTGCACCCTAATGAAACCTTGTCCTTTTATCTATGGTTAGGAACAGATCCATGGACTAGGTGTTAGGAAGAAAATAACTTCCAAAGGAAAGGTGGAATCTCTTCTGAGAGAGCTCTAAGGAGACAAAACTAGAAAAGCTAGTTTATCACAGCTTTTCTTTACGTTCCTTTTCTCTAGCAACTTACAGATCAAAGTTAAGTTTCGCAGCTTGCATTTAATGAAGTAATTTGGTATGTGACTTGTATTAAAATGCCGAACAGAACATTTTCTACTTGCTATTTGTATTTTATTCTTTCTGTATTGAAACCATCCAGCAAACTTTAGATTGCTTTAACTGCATGCTGATTCCCAGCTCTGTATGCAGAATAGAACTGTATGTTCTTCAACCATATTCACAGGACTGGCTGTCTTTTATTCCGACATAGTAACAAAAGAGCTAAGGGAGCTGTCATTTATTTTACAGCAATTTCAGATAACTGACTCTTGTGATGATAAAGTATTGCAGAATGGAGAGATGAAACATGCTACATTTAAGAGAAAAGATGAATATTTTCTATTAAGAGGTACAAGGACCAGGAAATAGATGCTAATGCTACTATTGAAAAATAAAAAAATCCAGAGACTTGTAATGATCTAGGTGAAGCTGGAGAATCAGTGTTGATGGTGGGACCTTGTGTCGCATGAAGGATGCAGCTAGCTGAAGGTGATAATTTTGTATTTGTGAAGTTTTCTCTGTGGTATGCTATGACTTCCTGTGGACTTTTAAGTGATAATCCTGTTATATGCATTCAGACAAGTTCAAAATATTCTTTCATACAAGTAGCTATAGAAAAACTATGCATTTCAATAAGGACTGCAAAATGCTGTCCACAGTGAATGCTTCTCTGCCCCTGAAAATTGATTATTCCACTCTGTATATTTTCCCAAGCCATTTAAGTGCATCAGATGGTTATAGATGTTTGACATGCTAAGTAATGGTCTGGCCAGAATAGCACTTGTGTGAGGTAAGTGAATTGTTTCCAGTAAACTTGGCACATCCATATTGTTAATATGCTACCACCTACCTTAAAAACGATCAGTCAATTTGTTGCATGACATTTTTGGATTAAGTGGGTTGTATGGATTAATTGTGTTCATTCTCAATATGTCATTGATATTTTTTCTAAATGACCTGCCTTGTTATTTTATTTGCTTCTTCATAATTGATTTTCAGTGTATAAAGCACTTACTGTTTAATACTTATTGCAAAATAAAATTATAAAAAGCAATAGATTGTGAAAATTTTTTGCAATCTGTCCTTCCTCATCATAGTATTTGCAAACAGTTGTGCCTTATCTGAAATAGTGATTATTGCCAAACTCTGTAGAAAGTCAGAAATAGGAACAAGTTTTTTTCCCATGGTAGATTCATTAATTAGTATTTTCAAAGGTCTAGTGGGACATCTCTAAATCAGCTGGTGTGTGCTCCTGATGAGTAAGTGATTTCCTTCTCAAAGTTGCAGTAAGCATAGGGGAATAACTAGGAACAGGAGTAGGATTGACATGAAATTTTGTTTAAACTGTTGATCATATTACTCCATTTCTTATTCTCATTACAGTTCTCTTTGTTGAAAGATATGGTAGAGACATACTGTCATTGCAACAAACAGTAGTGAGAATAGAGTGACTTAGAAACCTTGAAATATTTCAGCCAATCTGTCAGTGGCCAAAGATAGCTTGACAGAACTGTGTTTCTGCTTGGTCTGAGGGATTAGTCACAATTTTAAAATATCTCAAGAGCAGCTACGACAAAGTACTAGGGTTTGATTTTCCAGATATAAGCCTAAAGCATCTCAAGTCAGGTGAAGGTTGCTGACCCTTTGTTTAATAGCTAAGTGACAGGAGATTTGAGTTGTCTTTTCAAAAGATGAGAAAATATCCGAGAGGTAAAACTATGTGTTCAGTCTGATAGTTTAAAGAAAATTTGTTAGAAGAGTTTTGTTGGTTTTTTTGTTTTGTTTTGTTTTTTTTTTTTTTTTTTAAGTTTTATACTAGTTTCTTAGCTTTTGTCTTGTCTTGTTCTCTCCTATATTTAATCAGATTTGGGGTCACAAGCTTACATGAGCAAGTAATCTCCTGTTAACTTTCATGTAGGTTTTGCTGATGTAAAGACACCAGGGTTTGTGGAAGTACAGCTCCATGTTGAAGAGCTAAAATCATTAGTGCTGAAGTCTGTTGATATAGCAAGATGAGTTGCTGATGCAATATAGAAATAGTCAAAATATTTACAGCCAGAGTTTTGTCATGTCCATCTGACTCATCTTGCTTTGCAGTGGTATTTGAGAAAACTTCTCCAATTTCTGAGGCACATAACATTTTGTCCTGCAGCTCTATTCCTTTAGAAAAGGACTGAAGATATTTTCTTAATTGATTCTGGATAACGGGAAATTGCCATATCTTATGACATCTTTAAAAAGACCAATCATACTTTTAATTGCTTAATTAATCACAGCATGAAAAGGGCACAATCTTCAAGGACATTTACTTTTTTTTTTTTTTTCTTGCCTAAGAAGTTTGGTTGGCTGTTTTCTTTATTGAAGCTAGCTATTTGATAGCAGAAAATATGGCTAAGGTGGTTGGTCAAACACACACAAGATCATCATTGACACCCTTTAGTGTAGCATGACTGACCTATAAAGCCCAGCTAGATATTTCTAGCCCATCGGTGTTGATGAGCACATGTGATCTCTTTCCAACTGTCAGAATATGCCCTTCTGTTTCAGCCAAACACAGATTAAAACACCACAAACCTAAAATACAACAGAAAGCCCAAATTCAGAGACGAGCATCTTGCCAAATGGGGGAGTGCCTAATTTGAGAACAGCTGAGGATTCAGGTTCTCTGTACTGGTCAATGGACTCATTACTTCTCACCACTGAGAAACATGCTGCTTTCTTTGTCACACAACCTGTCTCATCTCATTAGCACAATGACTTGAACATGTTGACAGCATGTAATGGTTTTCACTGCATATGCTAAGAAGTGATTTTAAACCAATTTGCTGTTTTCTTTGTAAGCAGAGTGTGACTGCTGATAGTTGCTAAGGTCCCCTAAAAGTTATTCATTTGCCACAATTCCTATAGGTAAAATACGATGCTGTGAAACAGATGATACAATGCACCAGCATGCTTGTTTCTTTCTCTGTATGCTAATGAACTCCCACTCATTCCCCACTGGTAGCTCGGTATGTTGCGGTGAATGCATTCAGACTGAATCAACGTTCAGTGACTCAGAAGGCAGTTTCTACATTGGCTTATTGTTTCCACGAATACTATTAAAGCATAGCTAATTCTCACAGCTGAAAGTTTGATTTTCCAAATACATTGTCTGCATCTGATAAACATATTTAATTGTTAGACTTCATTCTTCTAAATAAAAGTACCACCTACCTTACTTGATCATGTTTATATTTTTTTTTCTCATAGCATTAATTGGCTTGATCAAAACTTTCAAAAAAGGTCCTACCTGTCAATTCTATGTATTTACTCTTACTAGTAAGAAGCTCACCATTTAGCAACCTTAAATAATGAACTCTGGTTTTAGTGCTGACCTCATGTTTGACCACTAACCAACATTCAGAAAATAAATATTAAAAAAGAAATCTAAAAATGCTTTTTAAGTTGTCTCAACTCTGGTAGTGATTTGCCTGTAAAGAGCTGCTTAAGCAATGGTGCTGTTTTTCATATTATTGCTGCTGTAGTTAACCTTCTGTCCACTTTATAGACTCTCTAATGAGAGACTGGCACGTATTAGAAAGCTGTTAAACTTCTCAAGTCCTGTGGTAATACTCTGGCTCATTGGTGGTGAGTGGTCTTTGCACTGTTGCTGTAAATAGAAATCACAAGACCAAAGTTGAGCAGACTTGCATTGTTTTCAGTCATGAAATTAATACCTGACTTAACATAATTGATTGGAACTACTTGTATTTTATATTTTCTCTGAAGAACCCCACAAAAACATTCATATATCATTTTTTTTTTTTTTTTAAATAAGCCAAGTTACAAAAAATGTATTCCTACCTCACCAGTGAACATTGTGACTTTTGGCAACTAACACAAGAAATTAAAAATGTGTTATCATGAATATTGTCATGAAATCAGAGGAATTTTTCAGGGGAAAAGAGACACCAACTGTAACTTTCTTGTATTCATCTCTGCTGAGAATGGAATTCTTTTTAAGGTTCATAATACATTATTTAGGCTGTTGAATCCCACTCTAGTCAAATGGCTACTAGATACCTCAGGTTATTGCTGTGGGACCGTTTTTGAGGAAAGGATTGAAGTGTTGTCCCAAAGCCTGTATTTGAAATGTTTTCATTATTCCTCAGAAGCATCCAGAAAGAGTCTGAATTTTATTTTCATTATGATATAAATATGTTTTTTTGAGAAATAGACTTAAATGATTAACCTGAAAATAGCAGGCAAGAAGAGGTGCCTGAAGGTTGAAAATCCTTGCTGACAAATGATACAGTACTTCTTACCTTCATAAAAGTTTGTGTGTATAAAATTAGACCTTTTATGTCTCTGGTTTATTTTCTCTGGATTTAATTTTTGGGATTATGTTATGACCTGAGGTTGACAAACCTACTAATTTTGAAAAAGTAATGTTTGTTCACTTACCTGGAAGATTGTCACATTCTAAAGGTAGAAAGCAAATATCCCATTTCAGTATACACGTTTACAGCTCTCTCCTGTTTGTGGAACTTCCTGGAGTCACAGGCATCTGCACAGCACCTGGGTAGGTAAGTGGAATCTCCTAGCTGGTGCCTGATTGCATGGAATTTATTGGTATACAGCCTTCAAACATGCATTTGAGTCTTTTGCTTAGTGCTGGTTTGAAAGCATGCAACTTTGGGTCACAAATAGGGTTTGTCATGTGCCCTGGAGTGCCACTGGCTGCATTTTATTTTGCTGCTTCAACATTTTTGATTCAGCTTCCTCCTGTTATATATAGCTCAGCTGGTAGCTTGTGGCTCCAAGCTGCTGTCATTTGATTTAACCACTCACAAATCAGTTAAGTCAAAATTAATTAATGAATTCCTGTTTCCTTCCTCCTGAGCTCTCCTAAATAATTCATTTTTAATTTATTCAAAGTACTGAAAACATTTGGCTTGGCATTATTTGTCCAAGGTGACTATGAAAATGGAACTGCTCAAAATGGAGCAGAATGGTGATTTTGAAATGCTTACAAAGTTGTTTTAAAATGCCTGGTTTTATTGTAGACGAGGGGAAAAATATAAGTCTTACTTTCAGAAGTGATGGAAGCTGAATAACAAATAAATATGGCATAATATCTATTTTCCCGTGTGGTGAAATGGCTCTTGGGAAAAAAAAATAGCAATAAAAGTTGGACTTTATTGACTCTCTTGAAATTAAAGACACACTTGACAGCAGAAACTCATCAGGGATGAAGTATGTCACTATCCCTTTTTCTTCAGTGGCACACCATAGGTAAAGAATATGCACACAACACCATCATATGAAGCTAATAATTGTAGGGTCACTACAAATCTTATTTTACTTTTATAGAATTATGTTTTTTTAAAGAAGAACAGAAGAAAGGCATGCACAGCAGCAGGGGAGCCTGTAGCTGCTTGCATCTTGGATTTCCTAAAATGAACTTGACCTTTCAACAATGCCAGGATGATTTCTGTGACATACAAGCAGCAGAAGAAAGAGGAACTCAAGAAATATTAAAGGAGCATTCAACAATGGGTGAATATGAGCTTAGAGTAGCATTTGGCCTCTATTGATTCATTTTTCATTTAAGCAGTAGCTTAATCACAGTTTGATTTTTCAAAGACAGTTGATAGCTAAAGTTACTGAAAGATGAGTCAGATTTCTAAGCTAATTTGAAACCTGCAGTTTTTTTTAAGTTAAAGGTTCCTAATCCAAGTCAGATGAGCACTGCAAATGCTGCTGGAGTCCACACAGGTTATGTTCTGCTTTGATTCTTGTATCATAGTTTGCTTTTTGAGCTAGCTGGAGATATTAGTCTAACTTTTTAATCCTTGTGGTGAAAAGAAGAAAGTGAGGGCAAAATATACTTAAATATGAACTAAAGGGCAGATTGTACGATGGCATTATTTCATAATGCTTATTTTAAAGTCCACTAGAATTCCTCTGCTGAGTTTGATTCCCAGAGGTATGGGGTGATAAAAAATTTGATGATGTGTGTCAGAGGGAAGGACATTCTAGGTAGTTTGCAATGCAAGAGCTTAGCAAACATGCACATTTTGGTCAATGTTTTCAGTTTTATTTCCTTTGTGCCCCACAGTGAGGGAGAGGTGGTGTGGTGAGGTGCTGATTCATGTGTCCATATGGAGAAATTCAGAAAAGCTGAGCCATGTTAAGAGGGCACATTACCTAAGATGCATCAAACCTTTTTTGAAGGGGAAAGATATGCCTGTTGAGAAGTGAAGCAGAATTAGTTTATGTTACAGTAAAAGAAAATAAGCCACTTAAAGGATTTTTCTTAAACATCACACTTTTAGTTAGTGACAGCCTTTTTGTCTCTTTATTTAGACAGTTCATATAGAGGGATAACCTTGATAGACAGTTAAGAATGACATCTTGAAATTCAGGGCATGCCCTGATCATCGTTCCAGATGACTTGTCAGGTACCTTGTGTAATCATGCTTAGAAACATCTCAAAACCTATTTTTGCACCTATTCACAAGTGCTTAAACAGCTCTACATGAAGTTTCAGCTTTGCAGATATTTGCGGTGAAGGTGTAAATACTTGCTTTGGAGTTGTTTAAAGCACCATTGCTCTAGCGTAACAGAGATCTGTCTTCTGCAGAAGTGCTGTCAGTTTGATGCTGCTTGTAAAGAATATGTATTCCTGAGAAGTGAGGCTGCATGTAATTAGAGTACAACATCTGCAGGGGGGCATTTGACTTTGTTTCATTTTATTTTATTTGGGGTTTACATGCAAAAAAGGTAAAGATGTTCAGAAGAAATAGCTTCTACTGCTTCATAGATACTGTATGTCTCCTTCCCATGAATAAGACAGTCCTGTGGTTTTTCCAGGTTTGAGCTCAGCCACTGTTGATGTCATCGTTGGGAAACCAAAAGGGGAAAATTAAGCTGTTCCTATCACACAATCCTGTTCTGTGGCATTTATCATCAATAAAGAGGAGGGATGTCTGGTATCTTTGCTTTCTCAGTCACTACAGCCCAGCCCTTGAAAGAGTAGGCTGGCACAGGGACACTGAAGAGAAGCCAAGCCTATGTACAAACAGTTTATCCCTGTGTAGCTACTCTAATATCTGTATGATTTCCCCATGGAAAACAGAACATCTGCTCATTTGAAAGGCTGTAACTCTACAAAGTGCCCTCTAACCAAAGACATTAAAATGACAGTTGTTTTGTAGGAAATTTCAAAAGATATATATTTGTTTGTGTGCTAGAAGATGAAAACTATGACAAAGCAATGGATTTTTTTTTTTTTTGATGCTATGGGTGTACAAATATTGTATTCTTTGGGTGTTCTGCAAACAGTTTTGAACAGAAATAAATATTTTTTCCTTACAATTTTAGTTAATCTGAAATCTTAAAAAAAAAAAAAATCTATTTTCTCCAACTAAAGATTCAGAAGGAAGGAAACTTTCATCAACATTTTTCATGTCCTTCAAAGCCTACTTCTCATAAAAAAATATAAAGAACTTTTGATCATTTATCTGCACCCATTTTTTTTCAACTTACACCTGTCTGAATCAATAGTAATTTCCTCTCCATTTTTACTATTGAACTAGGGTTAAAAGATGGATAATTTGACTCCTGAAACTCTGCTGAAATTCTGTTGCTTTTGTTTCACATGGTTAAGATGAGCTCTGCATCCCTCTGTGTATCTTGCCTTGCCAGCGTGCCACATGTGTGCTGGGTTACTTGATGAGCCACACTCATGTGGGCATGGGTGCTGACCACGGAGGGAACCAAATCCCAACCTTCTTCTAGCCTGCCCTAGTGCAAAGTGTTTTAAATTCATTTGCTAGATTTGGCATTCAAATGGATACTGGGCCTGAGGCCTAGCAGCAGTTTTCTGCCACCTTCCAGCAGTGCCCGCAGAGAGACAGCACTGCTCCCCGCTGGCTCTCTGGAGGAGAGCTCTGTTCTGCCCTGGGCATCCTCCTGCTGACACCTGGCAAGCTGCCTGGCAGCATTACCAACTCCCTTCATGGCTCCACTTTGTTCACGCACTTGAATATTTTGCGTGCAGCTGAGGTATACTCCGTATAATTTTGAGACTGCAGAAGTTTCTCAGTTTTTCTTTGTATGTCCCTTTCCACTGTTCTACCTGGAGTTGCCAGCACAATTCTTTCCCCTCCTTGGTCCTTGCTTTCATTCTTAAAGGGGGCCTGGAACCACCCACTGGCTTTACTACCTGAACAAGAAACTGGTAGCTGTTTGGCTTTATTCAAGAGATACTATTTTACTGATGCATGTATTTTTCAGAGTGGCTGCATATATAATTTTTTAGAAACAAAATGGCAGTAATTGCTTTTGTTATTTATATTTTTTGAGTAAAAATAATTATAACTTTTACTAGAAATAGTTCTTAAATAAATATTTGTATTAATAATTAATTACTCAGTGGAAACTAATTGCCTGTCACAGTGATGTGCAGCATGAAACACTGTTTTGAGTGTAATAAATAGAAGGCTGTTCCCATAGACATATGTTGAAATCATAGGCACTGAGTAATGAAAATCATGCATCGTAAGGGAACAGTATGGTAGAAGTTCTGCAAAACAACCTTAATGTATCACAGATTCTGACTTGGCAATTACAAAACACATAGCTGCAGTGGAGCACATTCCCAACTGGCATAACTTGCTGTAATGTCATCAAAGCTGACAACTACCAGTTTAGAATTTGGGGGAAGATTATGAAGTTACTGTCACATATGTCAAAGTGCTTTGAAGTGCATTTTGCAGGAGTGTCTAGATTTGGATGCTCAGCTGTTTTCAGTGCTGTTGCCTTCAATGCTCACCTTTTGACTATGCACTGAATTGGAATGGATGAGTTCTGTTCAGCTGCAGCTGGGGCACAGTTTGGGATTTGCTTATCAGCCCCTTTCTGCCAAGAGCTGTACCTCTTTGCTTAGCACACAGGCCAAGACAGCAGTGTGAATCTACCTGGAATCTCAGACTGTGTTAGTGGAAGATCTGAATTTTTTTCATAGTAGCTTTGTTATGGGCTTTGTCTGCTTCGGAATAGATTTATCTTTACATGGTATCTGGCATTCCTTCTGTTCTACACAGGGTAAAAATTAAGACTAAAAAGGACTAATCGCCAAACTATTGCCATCCAGGACTGTTTCACTCAACAGAACCTTCTTTCAATTAACATTTTCAGAGTCAGACTTTAATTTAGACAGAACACAGCCAGGGGTGTTGCAAAGAGAGGGAGGTAACACTGAAATGCTGTGAGAAGCCATTGATGTTACTTGTGAAGAATCTTCATAATTTCTCTCTATCTAGAATCATAGGATGCTGAGGGGTATTGTATTGTGTATTGAGAATTGTTATGCTCAGAGTGAGGACCAGAAAATTCTGTAGGAGGGTCATAGTTGAGCAGCTATTCTTAAAAGTGTCAGTTTAAGTGCTTACTGCTTGAACTGCACAATTAACTGGAAGTGTAATACTTCTGGATCTAATGGTTTAGGATTGAAAATTCATGCAGGAATGCAGAAACAGTGTTCCAGTTATTCCAGTTAGTGTCCCTGAGCCTTTTCATGAATGGCTGGACAACCTGCGATTGGTGATTTTCCAGTCTCATAGAGTACTTTCCAGTTTGGTTTTGG